CCCCAAAACCCCCAAAACCCCAAAACCCCAAAACCCCGAGGGATAGTAATAATATTGAAATAACAATGGAGGGGGATTTAAAAGACTCTTGAAAGTCAGGAAACTGATTTATTGAAATGTTTAAGTGTGTTGATATGTATGGAGTGCCCATATCTCTGAATTTTAGGGGTAAAACTCATTTCCAAACTACATTTGGAGCTTTTGTGAGTATTTTGTCTTTCATAGCTGTGACTTGGTATACATCTACACAATTAGTCCAAGTTTATGGTAGAGGAGGGACTTTTATTAGCACAAACACTGTATCTAAATAACCTTATCAATGATTCTTCTGTTCACAATATCGGTCAGAAAGGATTTCATTTATCTATTGGGGGAGCTTCACGACATTTAGGAGCACCTATGATGATACTTGACCCAAGATACATGAATGTGGAGTTTAATTATCATGAAGCTAAGGCAAGTATCAGCAACGGTGGTCTCACAAATGATCAAAAATCAAAGTCCATTGGTACTAAGAGATGTGGCACAAATAGTTCTTTTCCTCTAGATCCTGAAATAATTACTTCCCTAGGTCTGCACCAGTTCTGGTGTCCTAATTCATCAGAATGGGGAATTGGAGGCACTCAGATGGGGCTTTTCTGGAAATATCTTGAAGTTAAGATCAGACGATGAGAGCTTGCATCAGGCTGAAAATCAACAACTGAGATCAACAATTATCTTAAAGATCAGGTTGCTTTTGTTGGTGTTACCAACCAATACTTTGATGGAGGAGACTATCATGATCCGATAAAAGAAGATCTGCAGAATGATTTTTTTTACCATTTCATTGATAACTACATTGTTGAGAAGAATATCAAAATCAGGCTTAACAAAGTAGTTGACTACACTAATCTCTTGTATGAGTTCGGACCTCGAGAATATTCTTACTTCTCCGTGGACTCAGTCGATGATTCTTTACAGCAAGATGATGGGAGTGGAGATCTTATGAGGTTCAGAATTGTTCTTGACCATAAATACACCTCTACTGAGAGGAGAGTTTACACATTTTATGACATGCTGGGTCAGATCGGCGGCTTTCTTGGGATTCTGCTATCAGTTGGAAATCTTCTTTCTGGACTAATATCCAAAAATATTTTTATGATGACCCTTCTATCAAGCTTGTTCAAAGTTGAAAAGGACAAGTCATCCCAAAAAATTGTTCCTCACCCATCTTGAATTGGAAAGCCGAAGTGATCAAAAGTGTATAAATTTTCAAAGAGCTGCACTAATTTTTTCCAGAATAAAAACTTTGTAGAAGAATCTAAAAATGAGAATTCTGAAGAAGAAAAATATGATGACGGAAGTGAGATCAAAATGAGTCATTACCCTAATGAATTAAATAATGAGATAAGACAGTTCCAGCTTTCAAATTTTAGAAAGCATGATCATTACAATAATTATAATGACACAACATTAGATCCATTAGCAGGCTCATCTTTTGACAACAAGCATCTTTTGAGAAAAGTTGAAGAGAAAATAGAATCTAGAGTCTGGTACAAGTTCAAGTGGAAATAACTTATATTACTCAATCGTCTGCTGCAAGGGTCTTTACAAAGGCTGTTCAAAATCTTTGCACACCCAAAACCAGCAGTACAAAGCTGCGGCCACAAAAGTCGAAGCTGCATTAGATGTGAAGACACTCATAAAATCAATGAGGAAGACCCAAATACTTTCTGAGATTATTATGCCAAGGTCAGCTTCAATCTTACTTGATAACCACAGATCTGGAGTGCTTCCGCCAGAAGACGAGGAAACAAGTAAAGAGGAAGTTGATCTAGACAACCCTGTGTGAAGATATCTTGCCTTGAAAATGATTGGGAGGGATATATCTTCATGTCTAAATTCTCTCCAGATAACCCAAACTAATTATTAAAATACAATATTGGCTCCCATTTTGGGGTTTTGGGGTTTTGGGGTTTTGGGGTTTTGGGG